CTGGGACCTCGATGGGGAACTCGGGGACCCAGAAGTCATCGTCAGGCACCTGCCCATCCTCCTCCTTGGCCTTCCAAGCGGCCTTCCAGATGCTAACTTCTCGGGCGAGACGAGCGGGCAGGCCACTAGAGAAAGACTCCATGCTCGGTGCAACCTCTTCTTGCACTGGCTTTCCTGCACGTAAGAGCGCGAAAGCTTGCCTTTCTCCATTGTTGAGCGACTCTGAACACCAGTACTTCCAAGCTTCCTTGTCCCGAGTTCGTTCCTCCACTTGACCTTGGCGGGCCCACGTGGACACGAAGTCCAGAGTCCACTTCAAAACGTCCTGACGAGTTTCACTAGGCCTCGGAAACGTAAGTCGCTCAGCAATCGACACCAGGAACGGATGCCAGAAATCGCATCCCTTCCTCCAGAACCTGCGGAACGGGCCACCTCGTTGCGGAAGGTCAATCCACTGCTGGGCCAAGCGCTCACGGTAATCGTCCTTCCCAGTCTGGCCGAACAGGCTCTGGAGCTCCTTGATGCGGAGGATCACCCATTGAATCGCGCGGCCAGGAAACGCTGAATCACGTTTGCGAGTAGCAAGGAGCCGATCTAGTCGCGTCGCTTTCAACTCAAGAGGGCTTCCTCCAGGCAAACCTGTTCCTTGAACCTGTGTAACATCAACAACCTCGCCCCATGCCAAAGGGACCCACTTCTCATATATCTTATTGAGAAGCTCGACCCCACGTTCCTTCCCAACCCCTCTGGCCAGAAACGTGGTCCCAGAGTCCCCAAGCCTCGGCTCCAAGAAGTCCTTGAGCTCCTTCGTGAGGTCCGAGAAATCCCGAGGCTCAGGAACGGGCCCGATGGCTCTGACAGCTGGGGCCTTCAGGTATCTCTTGGGGACATTGACGTAGTGAGCTCGACGGGCCTGTGAGGGCTGAACGAGGCCTCCAAATCCACCGCCACCTTGGGAATGGCATTGTCTAAATTCATGTGCACCGCGAAATAGTCCAAGACAGTGCCCACACCTGGCGCCACATAGGTCGGGTCTCCTGGGGCTCTAACGACAGCGCAGAGGTACTTCACAGGGATCCCATCAGTGAGGGCGCTCGGGGACATGTTGAAGTCGCCCCCAATGGTGTAGGGAACCCCGTGCCGAAAAGTGTCATCCCAGATGTGCGGCATGGTCTTCACATTATCTCCTTTGAGGCCAATGGAGTCGTGGAGGTAGGTAGAGTAGATCGCTAGTACTCCAATTTCCGAACTGCGAAGATAGCAACGCGCAACCCTGCCAGCTACAACTTCAGCAGACTCCCCAGGGGCGAGAAAAGCGTCATAATGCCTTCTGACACACACCATGGTCCCCTTCGAAGGATATCCAGATTCGGTGTGCAGACATTCGGTCCCAAAGACCTTCCATCCACACTTCTGCAGACGATTGATTGTCTTCCGATAGAGGGCCCCTGCAAGATGATGTTCTTGAAACAAAACAATGCCAGCGTCTGTCTCTCGAATCATGTCATTGAAACCCGGAGTAGAGCAACTGGCAGGGCGTTCGAGATTTTCGTTGTCATTTGATTCGGCAACCCAACTAGAGCCATTGAAAGTAATAGCGCGGAGATTACGTAGTCTGTCACGGCGATGCCGGGAATCTGTCTTGGGCTGGCACGGTGGTGCGCCAGTCGTGTCGATGCGCCTGGCCTGACAACCCCGAGTCAAACATTGACTTCCGTGAATGAGTCTCGTGCCACATCTACAGACAAGCAATGGCTAGTCCTGCAGGCCCATCGCTCTAGCATCGAGATATGGGAAAAATGACCATCTGGAGCTCGACAATGCGGTACATTCGGCCAAACGCGGGCGCCAGGCACCAACATGTCCCGTAGACCATCGTGAACTTGACAATGAAGTAGAGCATTCGGCAAAACTGAGGGACTCACCTGCTGTCCCATGCATGGATCATATGAGGGATGGCGGAGGCTAAAGATCATCTGTAGGATCATCACCTCCCGCAACCTCCCAAATAGCAGTAGGGTGCGTGTAGTCCGCCGCGGCAGTGAAGGCACTCGCTGTAGGCTTGCCTCCACGACCTGGCGCCCTGAACCGAGGCTTCTTGGTGGCAGCCTTGAGGGGGTCAATGATATGACGCTTGGCAGCTTCAGAAACACCTTCCACTTCCATGGCAGCGTTGACGTCGACTTCATCCAACCCCAACAACGACTCCTCATCAACGTCGACCGTGGCCGCGAACGACGAGTCAAAGGCCTTGACGAACTCCGTGTACTTGGCTTCCAACCCTGCACGTGCCTCAGCATGTTGGAGGCCCGCCAAGAGAGTCTTGAAACCATCCATGTGAGCACGAAGAGCTTTGATATCTGGAACACCAGGAACAACTTTGGCGGCGGCCACCTTGCGAGCCTCCTCCACAGCGCGACGCTCCACGGTGATGGCCAGCTCCAGCTCCTTGCGCTTGACATCAAGCTCGGTGATCTGACCCACCACAGCGGCGTGGGTGGACTCAAGCTTGTCAATCTTCGAAAGCCTCCGAGCCTCCTCCTGTTCAGCACGGTGAAGAACACGAGACACAGGAAGTTGATCTTGATGGGCCTGCTTGGCCTCGGAGTAGGCACTGGAAATGGCGTCGAGCGACCCCTGAGGCAGCAGGTCCTTGAAACGGCCCGTAATGCACAGCTGCTGGAGTCGATGGAGCTCGTCAATCGCGGCCCTCGAGTGGTCTCGAGCCTGAGATGTTGCAGAGTCGGACGGTGAGCCACCTCCTCTGCGTGCCCCACCAGCACCTCCTTTCCCACGGCCTTTGGGCCCCTTTCCACCTCCGCCCCAACGCTGTACAGGGACCCACGGGTTCCGAGTCCAGGCATCACCAGGTGGCGGGGGAGGGATGACGACTTGCCCAAAACGAGGGAGATCACCGCGGCAGTGAACACAAAACTTGAAGTGCGCAGGGTTTTTTTTGTAACCACCGTGTGGGCAGGCAAGTCCCTTCTCATGGTCGGAATAACGTCCTCCAGAGCGGACCATCCCAAGACACGCACTGGAACAAGAGGCGGACACTGAAGTCCGCGGGAAAGCTGGGCTCTGAGGTGGCCCCTGCCCGAGAGATGGAAATCGAAACACGGCTGAACCCCTTGAGTGAGGTTGGAAGTTCAGGATGGGTGTAACCCCACCCTTGAGCCAAAATGGCTACGGTCCTCCTCCTCCTCCTCCTCCTCCTCCTCCTCCTCCTCCCCCTCCTCCTCCTCCTCCAGCCTCCTGTATCGGGGGCCGCGATGGGGGGGATCGGCACAGGGGGGGATGCATCGATCCCCAATCGCCCATTGATCGCCGACAGGGGCCCGATAGCCCCAACCTGCACAGTAAGGTGCGACTCTCGGGAGCCTATCGCCGATCTATCGGCGGTGTATCGCCGATTCTAGGTCGATGCATCCCTCCCTATGCCAGTCCCCCCCCTATCGCTGCCCCTCACTATAGGCGCACCAAGGGATGTTCTGAGAAGCTTTTGTGGTTTCCACGAGCTGTTCTTGAAACGTTACCGGCTGAGACTGTCTTGTTTTAAACCCATGGGGTTTTGTTCTCAGAGCACGTTTTTGTTATTGGAACATTTCTGGGTTCTAAGAACATGTCGCGGTAGGCCTATAGGGATGCCAGGACTGTCGGTCCCTGCTCAACCAACGGTCCTCGGGCGATTGCCAGGATCGCCCGCCAGGAATTCTCGGCCACGCGCAGAGGGGGTGGGGGGAGGGGGGAAGGCTGCTTCGAAGGAGGCCGCTTCTGAGAAGGCGCGGGTCTCATCCTTAGGTGTAAGGCCACCGCCTTCTGAGAAGCAGCCTCTTTCTAAGGAGCCTTCCCCCCTCCCCTCACCCCCTGCGCGTGGCCAAAGCTCCAGTGGCCCGAGAGCCCCGGAGAACGAGTCGAGGTCCAGAAAGGACGACGAGCGCCAGGGAGGGCCAGCGTTGCCCCGAGACTTGGCCCTCCGAGCCCGCGGCGGCGACCCCGTCGGTCGGGCACAGCGTTACGAGGTGGGTCGGCTCAGAGGGGGAAACCCAGAGCTCCAGCGTAAAGAACAGCACAAGACGGAGTTTTTGCGCCGTTTTTGGCCTTCAGAGGCCCTCGCTGTGCCCTGGGACCGTCAAGCAACGACTCAGGATGAAAAACCGGTGCTAGGGAAGGGGTCGAGGCTCTGGGAGACCCCGTACATACGGGAGAAAAACACGACATCGCACCTCTGGGTGCATCGACCCCCCATCGCCCATTCATCGCCGAGAAGGGCCCGACAGCCCCACCTCGCGCAGGAACTTGCGCATTTGCCATCGGGGGCCCATCGGGTCAGAGATGCGTCCGCGCCATCGGACAGGGCCATAGAGCTATAGGGCTCTAGGACGACAGGGCTATGAGGCTATGAGGCTATAAGGCCATAGGGCTATAGGGCTATAGGGCTATTGGGCTATTGGTCTATGGGGCTATAGGGCTGTAAGGCTACAGGGCTATAGGGCAATAGGGCTATAGGACGGGGGAGGCGAGGCGCCAGCGCAAGACAGTCTTGACCGCAACCGCGGGGAACAGCTCACCAGAGCGATATGATGTTGACCGTAGTCGTTGGGAGCATCTCGGCAGAGCACATCCTTCTGACTGGAGTCGCCTCATCTCGATGGCAATCCTGAGGGTTCCCTCAGCTTCTGAGGGTGCACCCCTGAGATTGTCATTGCCTTTTCGCTTGTCAGTCTTGGAAGTGGTTGGCTCGGGTCCGGCCTGACATTCTCTAAGACCTTCAGACCATTGCGCCACTGCGTGCTTCGTACATCGGAGAGGAGGGGGCGGCGGGGGAGGAGGAGCAGGGGGAGGAGACGGAGGGAGGAGGAGGAGGAGGAGGAGGAGGAGGAGGAGGAGGAGGAGGAGGAGGAGGAGGAGGAGGAGTAGGAGTAGGAGGAGGAGGACAAGTTCGAGGCGGCTCAGCTCGGGCCCGGGCTCGGGCTTGGGTGTGTGTGTGTGAGCGCCGCAGGCCGAGGCGGCGGCCCGCGGCCCCTTCGACCTCATCTGCGCCTGCGACGGGAAGCACTCGAAGGTCCGCGACTCGGCCGCGGCGCAGGACGACTCGGCGGCTCAAAGACGGGGTCCTGGGGGATGGGGCCCTCGATCTCGACTCCTCTTCTTTCTCCTCCTCCTCCTCCTCCTCCTCCTCCTCTGCGCCTGCGACGGGAAGCACGCGAAGGTGCGCGGCTCGGCCGCGCAGCAGGAGGGCTCGGTGGTTCGATGATGGGGTCCTGAGGGATGGGGCCCTCGATCTCGACTCCTCCCCCTCCTCCTCATCCTCCTCCTCCTCCTCCTCCTCCTCCACCTGCGCCTGCGACGGGAAGCACGCGAAGGTGCGCGGCTCGGCCGCGCAGCAGGAGGGCTCGGTGGTTCAATGATGGGGTCCTGAGGGATGGGGCCCTCGATCTCGACTCCTCCCCCTCCTCCTCCTCCCCCTCCTCCTCATCCTCCTTCTCCTCCTCCTTCTCCTCCTCCACCTGCGCCTGCGACCAGAAGCACTCGAAGGTGCGCAGCTCGGCCGCGGAGCAGGAGGGCTCGTTGGTTTCAAGATGGGGTCCTGAGGGATGGGGCCCTCGATCTCGACTCCTCCTCTTTTTCCTCCTGCTCCTCCTCCTCCTCGAAACCCAGTTTCCCTCCACATGTTTATTCGGGCAGCGCAACAGGCGTTTGAAGATGACAGCGGTAGCAGCCCAGAGTCATCTGCTGCCGCGAGCGCCACATAGGCGCCACCATGACACAGACACAGCCCGATGCGATGGTCCTCTGCGCCTGCGATGGGAAGCACTCGACGGTTCGCGGCTCGGCGCGGAGCAGGAGGGTTCCGTGATTCAAATATGGGGTCCTGAGAGGTGGAGCCCTGAGGATAGGAAGGGATCCAAGGTTGAGCTCACGTTGTTTGAGGCACCTCGTCTAGAGGACCATATACCTCAGGAACTCATTCCTCAGGACCCCATCCCTGAGGAACACATCCCTCAGGACCCCATCTTTGATGGGGCCCGCGGAGCAGGTGGGCTCGTCGTCGTCGCCGCGGCCGCCGCCCGCCGTCGGGCGGAGGAGGAGCAGGAGGAGGAGGAGGAGGAGGAGGAGGAGGAGGAGGAGGAGGGACTGTATCCATTTCGGCGCTCAAGTCCGTAGTGTTTGCTCGAGGACAAAAGTCTTTGGCAAGGGGGTTCGCGGCCCCACCATTTTCCACTTCTCCGAGACTGCATTGAGGTCAGACCTCTTTTGCGCACCCACGGCGTGCGTCGCACCTTCTTCTCTTAATGTCGATGGAGGTGTGGCGGCAGACCTGGTGCTGTCCGAACAAAGGTTGTACGTTCAAGTTCAACTATGAGTGGCGCGACAGCTGTCTTCGCTGTGGCACGGCTAAAGATATCCCCAGTGAGCGTGGGTTTCAGCCTCGCGGTGCCTGGGCTCGTGGCGTCCCACCCTTAGTCCGTGATCCCAGGCCCCAGGGCCTCCCGCCGCTCACAGACGTTCAGATTCTAGCCTATGCAGCTATGGACCACAGCGCGTATGCGGCAGTGTCAGGCACCCTCTCGCAGTCATCAAGGGACCGCATCCAGCATCTGCGCAGTCTCCGCTCTGGGGGGCCACAGACCTGGCGCAGGCCCAGCAGGCGCTGCAGGCCAAGGCCGCGCAGGCCCACGAGCAAGGCCCCGCCGCGCCTGCGCGCCCCGCCGCGGGAGGAGCCGCGCCTACGGGCGCTGCCCCCTGCGGCCTCAGGTCCCCCCTCGGGATGCGACCTGGCGGCAGGGGGGCCTGGCCCAGGGCAGTGTGCGCCGCCCCCTGCAGCTCTCGCTGCTGATCCTGATGTTGATGAGCGCGCCCGTCGCTGGGCAGCCAAGCGTGAGGCCATGCTGCTCGAAGCATGTTCCAGTGCCGTCGGCGACGATGACGACGTGGACCTCGACAATGGCGCCGAGCGGGTTGTCGAGCAGCGGGCCATCCTGTTGGTCGGGCAGGCGCTCAAGAAATTCCGCGCCACCCCGCAGTATGTGCCAGACACGCTGGGCTAGCCCGCAGCTCAGACCCCTCGCTGGCATCGTGTCGAATGTCACCAGTACGCCAGGGCTCGAGGTGCTCAGGCAAACCAGCGGGTTGGATGGTGGTGAATTAGCCCGAGTCCAAGAGCGCAAAGTGCCTCTGCGGCAACGTAACGGGCAGGAGCAGGCTCTGCGCAGGGCAGGTCGGAAGGCAGCTTTCAATCCAGCAGTCCGCGCAGGGGCCTCAGTTGCAGCAGAAGGCAGTCTGACTGGCCTGTCAGGTGGCACCATGATTGCCGCGCCAGCCAGGCATGGCGTCAGCGAAGTTGAAGGCATTCAGAGTTGTGTCTGCCCAGCAAGGGCTTCCATCGTGCATCTCAGCCATGGGCCCTAAGGGGGAATGTCGGTGAGCACCGTGTATATGCACGGCTCCGACTGAGGACCTCAGTGCGCGCAACTGGCAGATCGTTTGCCCCATGGGCCAGGCGATCAAGCGCGAGGGCATGCCTTTCCTCATGGGCGCTGACTGGCAGGTCACGCCCGAGGTGTTCGATGAGAGTGGCTGGGTGGCAGGCGTCGGCGGCGTCGTCGTAGCGCCGAAGGTTGGCACAGTCAGGCCATCTGGGAGGGTCACTGACTATTTCGTCATGTCTCCGTTCCTAGCTGCGGGCGCCAAGACCGACGCGTTGGATCACGTTGCCATCGGCCCACGCCGAGCGGTGCGTGTCAGGCGGCAGGTCCCGAGGCGACCTCCAGAAGTGCGAGCAGTCATTCAGCCTTGGAATGTTCCAGCGTTGGTCCACATGGGCTGTTGCTGGCAGTGTGATGAGCCGAACGGGGAGCTGCTCAGCAGTGACATGCAGCAGCCTGACACCGCTGTTGCTAAGCATGGTCGGCGTACGCTGCCGACAGGATAGGCTCCTGGCGGCGCCGCAGTGGATCATGCCCCGTTAGGTCCAGGAGAGCAAATTGAAAAATGGCGCGTGGAGTGGGGGGCGTGGCGGTGCATTTCTGAGAGCCGCCCGTAGTTGGAGTGGCCTGACCTCTCTTGACTTGAGCCCTCCCCCCCGCCCCGCTGCGCCCGAGTTCGCCCGGGCCCTTGGCCTGCGGGCCCAGCGCAGGCCAGGGGTCTGATCTTGTGAGCCCCAGGCAATTTCTTCAGCTAGGGCCTGAGGGTCTAGACGCGCTCCGTGAGTTTCTGCACTTGACTGAAGTAGGGCTAGAGCGGCCTACCGCGCGGGCCAAAGTGCTTTTCCGAGCCAAGCGTCGGGGGCTGCAGGCCTATTGCAGCCCTTGCCTGTTCTTGCGAGGGTCCTGCGTCGCCTCAGAAAGTCCTAGACCCGCAGGAGCCCGCGGCGACGCCGCGGACGCGTGCGTCTGGGCGCAGGCCGCGCGGGCCGAGCGGGTTCGTGGCCAAGGCTTGGCGTCGGGCACTGTTTTGGTTGATCTCAAAGTGGCCTTCGGGCTCACTCGCCGCCGCCACCTCGTGGCCGCCGCAGACCGCGCAGGTTTAATGATTCTCCTCGTCGCCCTCCACCGTCAGCCGCGAGTCCTAGATCTGGGCAATGTTGTTTCAGAGACGCTCAGATCAGAGCAGAGTGTGCTCCCAGGCTGTGTCTTTGCAACCATGATGCTGCAGCTTGTCCTACTACAGCCACTGGATGAGGCGCGCAAAGTTGCTCGTGCAGTCTCACTCTCTACAGTGGTTGATGACATCGGTTTGCAATGATATGGCGTCGAAGAGCGCGTCTGTGCAGATCTCGTCGCAGCTGGGGTAAAGCTCGACCGCCAGTTTTAGAACAAAGGGTAAATTTGTTGGTTGCGAAGGATGATACGCGCTTCATGGGCAGCGTTACCAGTCTGAGAAAGTCCTTGGGGACCACTCTGACGAGCCTAGGAGGGCATTGCTGTCGCACCGAAAGGAACTTGGGTGGATTACGGGTCGGGCCGGAGGTTGGGCAGGAGCACGAGGCGAGATCGCGCGGCGGCAGCCGTCGTCCGCTCGAGACGTTTAAAGATCTTGCACCAAGCTAAACGCCGCCGGTTTGTAACCAGGATGACTAAAGCCGCAATTGAAACCAGTGCATCGCATGGCAACAGTGTCGCGGGCACCAGTGGGCAGGAGCTTCGGCGTCTTAGGCAGATGGGTGCTGAGCAGGGCCCCGCTAGCTCCCCCTCTCTTACGCTTCGCCCCCCCCCTCACTCCAGGGCGTAGGGTGGATCTTATTTTCAAGGCTTCCGCCGAGCCGCTCTGTGCCATGTTGGCTGCTTGGAGGCAGCAGTTGGCGCCCCGGCATGTGATCGCTCGTATTTTTCAGCAGGCCCGAGCGGGGGCCCTGTCCCGCAAAGGCAGTCCGTGGCAATCTGTTGCAGGACCTTTTCTCGGGTTGTTTGGCCACTCTTGCTCGTTTAGATATCAAGAGTGACGGTTTTGAATGGGGCCTCGCAATACAGCCAGCTACGCGTTGTGTTCGCGGGCCCAAGAAGCTCATCGACATGGCCTGTGAGGCCTGGCAGAGGAAGCAGGCCGGCACAACGCTCGAGTGCCCCGAGCTCCGGTCAGGTTTCTTGCTTGAGCCAGTTGTTCGCTTCTCTGGTCGCACCTCGCCTCTTCCGCTTGAAGAAATGGCTTATCTTCGATCTACTCTCACCGGTGCGCAATGGATTCAGCTGCGCGCGTTCGAGGCTAAACTTGAGCAGTCGCCGTTCTGCCAAACATGTCACAGTTTCCCTGGCTGTCTGCGCCGCCGTCATCTCCTCTGTGATGGGCCGGCGTAGGCCAGTCATCAGCCAGCAGGAGCCCTTCGGCGCGCGTTCCCGCAGGACCCCTCTGAGCTAGCGCTGCTGCTCGGGAGTCGAGTGCTGATGCCGTTTGCAGATTTCCGACCATTCCTGTTGCAGCCCTTCAGCAGTTTTATTTGGGCGAGCGCGGCTCCATTACAGGTTTTGTCTGTCGACGGCTCCAGATGCGACCATGATGTACCCAATGCGTGTGTCTCAGGTTGGGCTGTCATTGCCATGCGCCCTGGCCCTCCCCGCCCTCGTGCGATCGCTGAGTTTCGTGTCTTGGCGGTCTCTGGTGGAGGTGTGGAAGGGGCCATTTCATTGCATTGATCGTGCGGAGCTGTTGGCGGTCTTAAATGCTCTCAGGATTGCATTGCCACCCGTGACCATTCACACTGACAGTGAGTTTGTATATTCAGGAGTCACCGAGCACGGGCGCGAGGTGCGTTGCTCTCTGAGTGCCGCTCACGCCGATGTGTTGGGGCTTCCCTGGGAGAAGCTCGAAGACTGGGGTGGGGTGGGGCCTCGCTCTGTCAATTTCGTCAAGATGAAGGCTCGCCCCACCCCAGAGCAGCGGTTTTCCATCTCGTCCCGTCTCATCGCGGGCCATAAGTTTGCTGACGAATGTGCAAAGATGATTGTTCGCCAGGGACGTGTGGATGGCGCGCATCGCGATCGTTTTGCTGAAGGTTTCTCAGCTAACGTGCGCCGCGGGGGAGCAGGTAGGCAGGGCCGCCCCACTCGCGGCTCGCGACGCCATGCGCCCGTCCGCCTCCAGCGTCAAGGCCGCGCGGGCGGCCCGGCGGCAGGCCAAGGGGCTTGCTGCCGCCGCCGCCGCCGCTGCTATCGCCCTCGCCCCGCCCGTCTGCCCCGCCCCCTCGCCGTGTCGTCGTGGGCGGGGGGCGCCGCCTCAGGAGATGGGTCAGCGAGGTTGTCGGTGGCAGTGCTAACGGCATTGTCTGCTTGAGTTGTGGTGCTTCGGCCACAATGCATGTGCACAAGCTTGGTAAATCCTGCCGGCGCCCGACCGTGTGGGACCGCCGTGTATTGTCAGGCTTGGATATTGCGCGCGCTGTCTTTCGAGGCCGCTGGTTCCTCGTGGAATTGCGGGCCATTGGTCCTTCGGATAACTCAGGGATGCTCTGATCCCGAGTAGTGTACAGCGGTGGGGTGTAGGCTCATTGCCCCCTCGTTGTCGTCAATTTGTGTCGCGGGAGGAGGAGGAGGCGGATGAGGCGGAAGAGGATGAGGCGGAAGAGGAGGAGGAGGAGGAGGAGGAGGAGGAGGAGGAGGAGGAGGAGGAGG